AGTCGCTGCTCGCGGACCGCGCCTTTGCTGGGGCCAGTCTGTACCTCCGGGTCCGACCCTGCGAGCCCGGCCGTTTTGAAGCTACCCGTGGCCGGGGCGCGGGCAACTCCCTGGGATGTTTGACAGCTAGGAGCCGTGGTGCCGCCAGTCTTCTGTCCAGTGGAAATGTCGTTCTGGCCTCATAGGTCTTTTTAAGTCTCCTAGATATTTTTTGCAGGAGCCCGGGTGGCATAGTGGTTATACGTTGGGCCGCTAACTGCAGGGTCAACAGTTTGAAACCACCAGCTGCTTTGCGGGAGAAATACGGGGCTTTTTGCACCCCTTTCGGAAACTCAGGGCAGTTCTATCCTGTCTCAATTTGGGGTCGTTATAAGGCGGCATGACTTGATGGCTGTGAGTTTGGGTATTTGGTTTGATAGCATAGGGGGATATAGGTTGGGCTGCTAATTACAAGGTCAGTGATTGGAACCCAGAAGGAAGCTGGCTTTCGGTCCCCCTAAGGATTAATAACCTCAGAAACCCACAAGGGCAGGTATGTGCCCGGTAGAGTCTCTGAGTTCGCAGAGTGACCCAATAGACAACAGAACAAAACACTGCGTGGTCCTGTACCATGATCAGCAATCATTGTCTTTCATGCTTGAGCCCATCGTGGGAGCCAGGGCGCCAAAACATTTCCTTCAAGGTCTTGTTCTTTACCCAGCATGGTGTCCTTTTCCAGGGATTAGGCTCTCCTGAGAGCTCTGGTGTCAGAGGGGGTTACTGCAGCTTGAAGGCACAGACGAGGCTTTCTACTCTCATTGAGTTAGTCTCAGAAATGGAAAGGGGCAGGTCTCCCTTGTCCTACACCTTTGATATGTGTCAAAATTGGCTCAATAGGCAGTGAGTCTTTCCTGATGACCTGTCCAAAGTACACGAGACAAGGTCTTGCCATCTCATTTCTAAGGAGTTTCAGGTTGTATTTCTAAGACAAGTTCATTCTCTAACATTCCACAGTCTTTTCAGTATTCTCTGCCAAAATTGCCATTCATAAACGTTGATTCTCCTTCCACCTTCCTTATTCATTATCCAGCTTTTGTATTCGAGAGGTGGTTGAGACTATCACAGGATTGGCTAGGCACACCTGTGTGTGTGTGTGTGTATTGCTGTTTCAAACGGTCTTCAAATTTAGCAGCCACCGGGGCTCCAATAGTATGTTCACACAGACTAATCTCCCTAAGCAATTTCCTCCTATTCTTGACTAGTTGTTCGTTGCTCATAAGGTAAAAGTTTAAATTCTTTGCCTGGCTTTCAATATCTACCATTATCCTTCCACAGTGCTATTTATCTTTTATAACATCCATTAGCTCTACAGTTTGGGAGAAAAAATGAAGTCATCTGTTCATGTAAAGATTTACAGTCTTAGAAATCCTGTGTGTAGGGCCCAGATGAGTCAGAATTGACTTGATGGAAGTGGATATTAACACTAAATTGACTCGGGTATTCCTGCCTTTAATGAGTGTCCTATGACTTGTGTAGCATCGTAGGACACAATTAACTAAAATGTAACAAAGACCTTGTTGAGTACAACAAAATGTAAAGGCAGGTAGTGTGGGTTTGGAAAAATTCTCTCATCTGGGTAGAGAGAACGGACAGTTTGTCCTGTAGTTGACATTTCAGAGGAGCCCTAAGCAGCAGGAGGATCGAGGATTTCCTCATCAAGTGGAAAAGCACAACATTCTGGCTGTACTTCTCCTAGGACAGATTTGTTTGTTCTTTTGGCAGTCCATGGGACTTTCAATATTCTTTGCCAGTCCCATGATTCATATGCATTGATTTGCCTTCGTCTTCGTTGTTCAGCTCTTCCTCAGTCATATTTTGCTTGCCTTTTGACCCGAGGGGCTCATCTTCTGGTATTATGTCTGACAATGTTCTGCTTCTACTCATCAGGCCTTCAGTATATGACAGTGTTTGGGTGCTATTAATAACGGTTTACACAGCTCTGAAGAGGACAGCCTACTCTTTCTTCACAGTCTGTTCTTGGT